AGTGCAGACCATAACTCATATAGTAAACACTTTTCTATCCTGTTCCTCTAGGGCTACAAGTTTATTAATTACAGTATCTGCCTCTCAAGTTATTGTAGGCAATAGCTTTATGAAATGCTTGCCATTGGATAATATGGATCATCATTTATCCAACCTACAACTCCAGTGTTGTCACAGCATGCCACCTGACCACTATTACTAGTGCCACATAGCCTTTTGTTATGGTAGCACCTCATTTCTAGGTACTGTATCAGTAGGTGCATCACTATGTTATGACAGCATGCTTTGATTAGATTAACTTTCTTTTTGGAATGATGATAAAACATCTTGAAAGTTGAATTTGTAAAACTGAAACGTCTACATTGATACTAGTGATATCCCCAACAATCTTGTGCCATTATGTTATTGGTTAACATATTCATGCATGCTTTCTTACTACAATTAGATTTTAAGTTCTGTTAAGGTAGAGGCTGTATTTACCTGTAATAGTAGGTCCAACAAACATTCAGTGGCTCCAAGCATGTGATAGGGCATTAAAAAAAATCTTGCTGAAATGAATGTGTGTAGTAAAGCCTTGATCAAAGAGGAGTCTGGCCTTTGCCCTCAGCTCCTGGGAGGTTAATCTCTAAGCCTTTGGAATATTCTGCCTGATAAGAGTGTCTTTGTTTACCTGTGAACCTTGGAACACACTAGATAGTTTAATGATATGATTTATGGTAGGGGATTTGAATAATGAAGTATTAGCTTAACCCCTGGAGGGGCTAGAGGCTGAGGTCCATCACATAGATGTTCAATATATTTATGTGATAGAACCCTAATAAAAACTCTGGACATCAAGGCTCAGGAACACATCCTTGATTGGCAATAATCCATGCATATTGTCACACATTGTTAATAAGAGAAGTTAACAATATCCATGACTCCACTGAGACGGAACAACTGGAAGCTTTGCATTTCAAACTTCTGGACTTTGCCTTATACTTCTCTTTACTTGATTTTATCCTATAATAAACCATAACCATGAGTGTAACAGCTTTCAGTGAGTTCCATGTGTGCTTATAGTGAATTATGGAACACAAGAATGATCTTGAGAAACTCCAAAGTTAGCAGTTGGGGGTCAAGAGATGAGGATGGTCTTGTGGACTACTCTTGCATTTCATAGGATGTTTAAGTAGCTCATGCTTGAGGCTGTGTGTAATTTATTTCTGTAAACACAGAGCCTTTTAGATTGCTTTTTGTAGGGTCTTGGAGTTGTTGGTAGAGGGTCCCAGTTATCAGTATGTTTGTTGAATGAAAGCTCCACTTGAATGATGGAAACTCTTAAAGCTGGTGACAGCCTAGGTCATGGGTAGTACAGAGGCAATCTGTTCACCATTGTCAACTGTGTGTATTCATCATATATTTATTGTTGTGTCTTCAGTATTGGTGCATGTCTTGTAATATAAGAGGTGCTCAATAAATGTTAAATGAAATAATGATCTGTGTCTAGTGACTCTGCTGGAACTTGATGATGGCTGATTACTAGTTTGGCACCCTGATAGATTAGTTATTTTTACCTGGGGGGAGGGGGAACTGATTGACCACTGGTTGTAAAGACAGTGTTGCTTTTCTTTTAGATAAATGACCATTTAATTATCCATTGTGATCCAGCAAATTCTTCTGTATAGGATCAGGTACTCTTAATTCAAGGTGAATTTACTGTTTCTTTTCTCAAGGCAGCTGATGTATTTTTCTATGCCTTGGGGTAGTGTTCTGAAAGGAGAGGAGAGCACTCAAGAAAGTAGGTGACTCAACCCACTCAGTTTAATATGAATTTAAGGGTCTATTGTATACATTGTTTTGGTAGTGTGATAGTTGGAGGTGTGCATCAACTTGGCTGGACCACAATTCTGTGTGGTTTAAGTAGTTGTGATGTGGTTATTCCCATGATGGGATCAGATGAATATGTTTTGAGCAGCCAGTCGTTGAAAGAGAGTTTCCTTAAGGGTGTGGCCTGCTTCCAGTATATTTATGCAATTCTGGAAAGAGACATTCTTCCATGGATCGAGATTCTGTTGTACTACCTACAACTGTCCGTGAGTGAACAATCCACCATTCAGCCTGGAGATCTTGGATTCGTCATTCATTGGAGTCAACTGCCTGCCAACCTTGAGCTTCTCAGCCCCTGCAGCTGCAAGAGTTGGGAAAAGCCTCCAGCTTGACATTTGATCCAAGAACTTTGGACTTTCCAGCTTCTATAAGTGTGTGAGCCATTTTGCTAAGATAAATTTCTCCCTCTCTCTCTCTCTCTCTAAGCTTTACTGGTTTTGTTTCTTTATAGAGAACCCAGTCAAACACAGGTAGCATGAGTGATAAAAAAAAAAAAAAAAAAAAAAAAACCAACTGAAAACATGAAAGCTGATTTAATGGAGCTAGCTTTACTGTGTACATGGAAGGACATATCTGTTGAAGCCTGAAAAATCTCTGGAAGATGGGTTTAGAAGCTTTAGTTTGGCTGGAAGGAGTGGCTAGGGGATTTTTCTTAAACACATCTTTGCAGAGAAAATACACTGTTTCAATTTAGATTTTATACATGAGGATGTAATTTGGGAAAAGAGACTAGTAGCCATTATTGGAGGGGGTATAAAGTCACCCGAAATCTATGAAGACACCAGAGACCACCCTAAAATATATGTAAGCAAGTATGAGAGAGACAAAATATGAGCAGTGAGATAATGAAGAAGAGGATAATCCCTGATAGGATGATTCAAGGAAGTCATCTTGTAGGAGTTAAACTTCTGAGTGTTCAGAGAAGAACAGAGAAGAATCCATAGACAAGGATAGGAGCAACATGAATGAAAGACTCATGATCACAAAAAAAGTTTTGATCAATCTCAGAATTCCTTCCAAATGCATCCAAGAATAGCTTCATTTTATTTCCTTCAGTTAAAGAAAAAGAGAGCTGTTCAAACATAATCTTGCTCTACAGGAAAATAACTACCTTGCTAGAAGTTGCCCTACCTTTTTTAAAAGAGCATGTACGTTTTTGTCTGATCTTTCTTGAAATAAAAAAAGTTAAGTTACTGTTATTTTGGGGATGTCTGTGTATCCCTATGATACAATGCCTGACATCTAACCAATTATCATTGAGTCCATTCAGACTTAACATGATCCCATGTGTCAGAACAGAATTGAGCTCCATGCAGTTTTTAATGGTTGTGCTCTTTTGAAAGCAGATTACCAAGCTTTTTTTTCTCGAGGAGCTGTAGGTGGATTCAAACTGCCAACCTTTCAGTAGTAGCCAAGCATTTAACTGTTTGCTCCAGGGCTTACTAAACCAGTTGCTGTCGAATAGATTCTGAAATGGTGACCCTCTGTGTGCCATAGGATTCTCAATGCTAATTTTTGTCAGAAGTAGATCACCAGGCCTTTTTTTTTGGAGGCACCTCTGACTGGACTCAAGTGTCTAATCTTTTGATTAGGAGCAAAGCATGTTAACTGTTTGCATCACCCATTATACAAAAACCAAACCTACTGCCATCAAGTCAATTCTGACTCACAGCAACACTAACGGACACAGTGGAAGTGCCGCACTGAATTTCCAAGGCTATAAATCTTTATGGAAGCAGACAGCCTTATCTTTCTATTGCAGAGTGGCTTGTGGGTTCAAATCACCAACATTTTGGTTAGTGTCTGAATGCCTTAACCACTACAGCACCAGAGCTCCTTCCTACACATTATAGCAGGTGCTTAGTAAATGTTTGTTGAACTGAACCATGGTGATACAAATTAACTTTTCATAGTTCATTTAGAATTACATATCAGACCACTTAAAGGCTTTGGCTGGCTAACTCATTAAAAAAAAAAAAAAAAAAAGAACAATGAAGAATGTGTGAATCATCTCACAATGTGGATGAATCTAGAGGACATTATGCTGAGTGAAATAAGTCAATCGCAGAAAGACAAATATTCTAAATGTCCATCAACAGATGAATAGATAACCAAATTATGGTACATTTACACAATGGAATATTATGCTACATTAAAAAACAATGAAGAATGTGTGAATCATCTCACAATGTGGATGAACCTAGAGGACATTATGCTGAGTGAAATAAGTCAATCACAAAAGGACAAATATTGTATAATCCCATTACTGTAAAAAGTCAAGGAAGAGTTTGCTTTGGGAAGGGAACTCACTTTGTAGGTTACTGCGGATGGGAGGAAAGGGAGGGGGAATTTCGGACTACTTGGGGACCACACACTGTGTTGGGTAAGGGGAGGGATGGTATGGAAAACAAAAATCATCCTCAGTCAAAAAGTAGCCAAGATAATGGTCATTTATATGTTGTATAAATGACAATTATTAGGCATCAATAGAGTTCTAGTCATGAGATTAAAAATAGAACTAATTTAGGTGGTTTACTTGGTGATAAAGTTTCTGAATCTGTCAGTGATGTCACTAATTTTTTTATTTTGTTTCCCTTCCATAAATGGAGCTAAAGATAGTTCTCTAGTTTAATACCAAAGCTCTTCTAAAGAGCATGTACCCACCACTTAAATCATGGTTCATTGTACATGACTGGTGAGTACTGGAAAGTAGAACATAGAGTGCGTGACAAGGGTTGGCAGTGTGTGGAAGAATATAAGTGATGATGATGGCAATTTGTAAGGTGGTTCATCTCTGTAGTCAATTTGTCATGAATTTTCTTTAATTAGTTAAGAGTACTTTGAGGGCAATGAGGATGAAAGTGGTTAGAAGAAAAGGAAGATTTGGTCATTTTCCCCTCAAAGGGTTCCCTTTGATTTCCCTTCAGGAAGTAAAAGAAAAAAAAAAAAACAAAACTATGTTCGTCAGTAACTTTGGGCCAACCACAAAGTAAAGAGAGTAAGCAGGTCAGTAGAAACAGGGACAGTGATTACTATAAAACCAACAGGTACTCTCATTCACACAACATAGGCACACACACAGGCACAGAAAGAGCCATCTGCACAAAGCAGGCAACCAGAGCAAAATGACAATGGCCATCCTGCGTGACACATCTGTGGTGAGTACTAATAATTCCCACTTAGGTGCAGTCATCTCTAGGATTTCAGAAAAGCAGATTTCTACAGAATTAGGTTTGATTAGGGTCTCTTTTGGGTCTCTTTAGAAAACAGCTAGCTTCAATGCTTCAATTTTGACTCCACTCTGGTGGAGAAAAAGAAAAAAATTACAATGAGATGCAAAACATACCTGCTTACCTGATAAATTTTGCATAGGTATACAGGTGGTGTTAGTATGCTCAGTTCTTGGCATTAAAGACAATTATATATGTGTATATATATATGTACATATATATGTATATATATATGTACATATATATGTATATATATGTGTGTGTGTGTGTATGTGTATGTTAGGAGCTCTGGTAGCATAGTGGCTAAAGCACTTGACTGCTAACCAGAAGGCTGGCGGTTAAAACCCACCAGCCACTCCTCGGAAGGAAGGTTGGGCAATCCTACTTCTGTAGTGGTACCGCCTTGGAAACCCAAGGAGGGGTCGCTATGAGTCGGGGCCGACTTGACGGCACATAACAACAACAACAACAACATGTGTATGTTTATATATATATGTATATATATATAAAATCCTGGTGGCATAGTGGTGAAAGTGCTTGGCTGCTAACTGAAAGGTTAGTGGTTTTAACACACAAGCTGCTCTGTGAGATATGACTGTCTACTTCTAAAACCCTATGGAACAGTTCTACTCTGTCCTATAGGGTGGATATGAGTCAGAATCAACATGATGACAGAGAGATATATACATACATATATGTGTGTGTGTATGTATGTGTATATATACACACAGAGGTCTTCAGGTGGTGCAAACAGTTTGAACCCACCCAGTGGTACCTTGGAAGAAAAGACCTGGTGATCTGTTTCCATTAGCAGTACAGCCAAGAAAATCCTATGGAACAGTTCTACTCTATAACATATGTGGTCACCATGAGTTGGAATCTACTTGATGGCAACTAAAAACAACAACCAATTTTTTTTTAAACAAGAAAGCTGGGCCCACAAAGAATGCTTCCCCAAAGACTAGAAGTAAATAAGGAACGCCCTGAATGTTGGAAATGAAACCACCCAGTGTTGAACTTGGACAGCTCCTATAGGAGAGATATTGCTCACGTTTCTGACAGCTAATTTTTGCATTGCCTATTTCCCTTGTGATGTTAATGTGATGGAAATCTGCCTTCTCTAGGTCTGGATTATTGCCTGGTATTACTCAGGTAAGACTCAGGAAGAATATAATAAAGAGGAACATGAAAACAAGGCTTGGGAAATCGCTTACCATTTTATTGGCTTAGACAATTCCTTTTTTTATTCTCCTTTTATAAGCTATGCAACTTAAAAGAGCTTGAATTTCATAAAACTTTCAAGGCATGTGGTGATAACACTATTTTATATTTGTGTATTGCTTTAGAGATTATAAGACACACAGCAAAGTTTGGTATAGGGGCATAGGCTTTGGAGTCAAACACACCTGGCTCTACCACTTACTAAATGTGGGATTTGGAGTAAATTATTTAACCTTAGTTTCCTTATCTGTATGATAGGAATAACAATGATATCTCCCTCTTGGGGTTTGAATTTTTAAGTTTTTGTTTATTTATTTATTAAGGTTTTGATATAGTTGAGAGTGAGTGAATCTATACTCTGAAATTGTAGATCTTTGCATGCTTAGTTTTTCATTAACTTGGCCATTTTGATATACAACAACCAGTAAGGATAAGGAAAACATAATAGTTACATTATTATTACATCCCCTAACCCAAAACAGGGAGCTCTGGTAGCATAGTGCCAAAGCACTTGAGTGCTAACCAGAAGGCTGGCAGTTCAAATTTACCAGCCACTCTTCGGAAGGAAGATGGGGCAATCTACTTCTGTAGTGATACTGCCTCGGAAACCCAAGGAGGGGTTGCTATGAGTCGGGTCTGACTCAACGGCACACAACAACAACAACAACAACCCAAAACAAAACCAACTGCTATTGAGTCGATTCCAACTCATAGTGACCCCTCCTTGGGTTTCTGAGGTGGTATCTCTACGGAAGTAGATTGTCCAGTCCTCCTTCAAGGAGTGGCTGATGGGTTTGAAATGCCAGCCTTCTGGTTAGCAGTCAAATGCCTTAGGCACTACACCACCAGAGCTCCCATTATACCCCCTAGACTCCTATGAACCCAGTGAAGTATGTAGGGATTGCTTTCTCCATCATACAGATGACCAACATCGCTAGATACCATAAGCACAAAAACTAGGACTTGAAGCTAAGTTTTCTGGTTCCAATACATTATGCTTCTTTTTTTAATGGTTTCGGGGGCAATATTTCTACATTTAAAGTCATTGTGTCCAAACAAATCCATTAAGTACTTTCTGCTTCAAAGAAAGTTTTATTTCTTATTTCTTTCAAGAAATCTATTGAGTGGTCAGGAAACCATGATTGGTACAAGTGACAGCAGAATAGGATTAGAAGTTGGGAGGTGCAGGCAGAGAGAACAGCCTCTAAAAGCAGTTTAGGCAAATTCTTGTGGACACAGAATCTGGCCAGGTTTTGGAGTTCATTCCTACATGGGGAGACCATAATTGCAGATACGCTCGGAAAGCAAATAGTCTCTTATAGGTGGACTCACATTAGAGTAAAGAGCAAAGCTGGGCTGAAAAGTTTGGTGTCCTGCTACTACCCACTTTCAGTAGATTTTTCCTGTCTTCTTCTCCTGTTCTCATAACTGGAATATAAGAGTTCAAGTCTATAAAATGCTCTGAACCTCTCAGAGAAGTGCTGCATATGGTATTCTTAAAAACCAGCAGGAGGTTTATCAAAGCCACCACCTTGTACCACTAAAATCAAGTTTCAGATCAAAAAAGTTTGGTGGAGCAAACTGGAGTGATTTGCAGACATCTGATTTCCTGATAAGGGGCCATGTGACTTGCAGTATGCACGCAGCTGCGATGTTGCTGAAAATGCTCACTCCTCCAATAAGAGAAAGATAAGATTGAATACCATGAGTGGTTAATATATTGATGATAATAATGGCATTCAGTGAAATAGCCCTGACCACTGACTTTCATGGGCCAGCACAACAGGCTACTTAACTCAACCAATTTATTTATTACCTTTCGCTACAACACTCCCACTTGTCGACTGGGACAAATAATACTAGTTC